CCCTGGTTAGTACTTGGATGAAGACCACCAATGAATTCCAGGTGCCATAGGAGATATTTCAGAGTTTTCTTTGACTAAGAAACCCCTGTGGAATTTGTGGGGTCACCATAGGTTGACAGGTGACTTGAAAGCACATACGTATATACACACACACATACACACATGTGCTGACTCCACCTTTGCTGGAAGAGATGCTCAACTTCTTATTCATTGGGTTGGAGCTAATGAAAGTAGGGAGCTACTGGGCTGATTCAAGTGTAAAACTTCTTATAGTTGAAACAGGTCACAAGTTTGTATGTTCCCAACTCCCGTTGCACACTCTGCTCTTTCTTCCCTAAAACCTGTTTCAGCAAACCAATTTGCTGCTAAACCAAAGAACCAAAGTCCCATTCAAGCTTTGATTTCTACTACTGCTTTGGAGACTTGTCCAACAGATAGAAAAGACTTGTCTCCAAAGCAGTCCAAAGGGTATATTGGGACTGCAATGCCTTGTTAATGTCTCCTATTGAAGGGGAGAAATGGCACTTCAGAACATGATGTACCCAGTTGCTCTCCTTCTTTCCATGCTATGGCTGCTTAGAGTTACATATTCCTTTCAGGCTCACAACTGTTCTACTTAAACTTTTGTTGCATACATAAGCAAACCAGGTCCCAATGTCAGTTGCTACATTCCACTTTGACCTATTCATTTTCCTCCATTTAAAATCTTGATCATAAAAGAGGAAGAAAATGGTAAGTGAGACCTATAGAACAACTCTTAAAATACAGACATACTTGATCACTTAAATCTTCCTAATACCACCAACCAGTGAAAGGCTCAGACTACCTCTAGCAGTAGACTGGGTGAAGCTACATCAGATGCTGGAGAATGTTAGTAACAGCCCCCCTGCCAACATTTCTGCTTTTCCTCTAACCATTTTCTTCTCTTGGAGGACAGAACTACATGTACCACCCAACTTTGTCCTTTTCCCCAGGCAACAGTATGTCTTGGGACAGCCCTGAAAACTCTTGTGGTGATTCTAGATTGGAAAAAAGACTTACATTATTGAGTTTTGCTAACATTTCTATGCCTCTGAGTCCCATGGGATTAATGGGACTCACATTTGTTTAATTATATCTAGGATAGAATTAATGCAGTGTAATTTTTTTTATTAGAAAATATGTACTTTTCACATTTGGCATTTCATCCTTTCTTTAAAAAATGCTTTGCTAGTTAGGCAAAGAATTTGGATTATGCTGACTTGCTTGATTAAAAAAGGCATTCAGTCAAACAAAGTGGAATTCTAGTCAATCAGCTAGAGAGCATACTTCCTATTCAAGTTGCCAAAAAGGTTGTTTTGCTGTTAAATCTCTCATACTGCATGGAGATCCATACAGGAGTGAGTAAGCATGCAGTCTAAGAGAAAGCTGTATTCGTTGTAGGGGGTTTGCATGTGTATGTTTTCTCTCTCTCCCACACAGAGAAATATCCTATCAAACTGATCCCTGACTTCTAAACATATTACATTGTAGCAAATCCTATTAATTTCAATGGACTGTTAGTCTACATAACATGTTAAAAGATGGAGGTATAAGGCAGCAGACAAATGGGCACATCCTTCATCCATAATGGTATATGATAAAATGCCTTTTCCATAAAGGGGAGAAAAGTGAGGCAATGGCACCTTTTGGTTATCTTGCCATGCAGCCTCTTAAATGATAATGTAAAGCTTTCCCCCTCTTTTTTCTAATTTAGCTTAATTTCTACAAAGTGTCACAGCCCAGTGAACCACTGAAAGTGAACCAGTTCACTGAACTGAACTGGATTGAACAGATGGAATTCCACCCTTAGTATGCTTGAGAGACTCTATGAACAATGCAAAGTCTTTTAAACCTCTCCTCTGAGCTTGCTATTTAGAACAAATACGTAGTTTACTCTGAAGTCATAAAAGCAAGTAGCAAATCCTTCAATCTGATACAGATTGTGCAGTGGCTCTTGCTTTGAAGAACAAAATCACACTAGCTTTTCATTTTATTTCTTTTGTTACCACACCATGGTAAAAGATGGACAACAGGATCATAGTTCTTGCTGTATCCTTGAGATACAGATAAAAGTGTTCTAGAGATTTCTATACACAGACACACCAGATGTTTCTGTTGTTTTGAAATCCAAAGAGAAATGTGGCCCAACTCCTATTGCTATACTTGTGATTACTTCTTTAAAATTCTCTTCTCACCTACTGTGCATAGTAAGTGCATAATACTGCACAGGTATGCATGGTCTTGCTTCTCCCCTCCTCCCGCCAACTCCTCCAAGCAAGAACACACATTTTCAAAGCTGTTTGTGAGCTAAGCTTCATGGAAATTTGGATCGTTATCACAAGGCTGTAATTTCCACAGGGTTTCATGATTCCATGGACACAGTGAAAGCTAACTCCTCAAGCCCTTTTAGAGTAATGCCCGCTAAGGAGTGCCTAAGCTCCAACAGGCCATATAAATTGGTTATGCAGCATCTATAAGGATAAACAACTTAGCTTTAGCAGCTGGCAGGAGTGAAAGCCTGTAACCAGCATTCAGGTTTCTTCAAGGTATCATGACGTGGTTACATCCATCAAGGTTTTAGTTTTTTGTTTTAAAAATGTACATACATATCACTGCATCCTGCAATACAATGTTATATCCAGCCTGAAGCTGCAGTTATCACTACATAGATCTCCCTCAGGAACTAACTATTTTTTGTTAGTTTGTTTTGGTTCATTGGGTTTGCAAAACAGCATGAACCTTGCCAGAAGGCCATGAAATTCTGAAGCAGCTTTCTCTTGTATTCCTCCATTTCTCCATTTAAATCATGCATAATATTCTTTAAAATGTCATCCCGTAGACCTTGATGACTATATAGTTTAACATGATAGACTGTTATTGCTATGCTGGTACCAGAGTTTAAGAAGCATAATTCATTTTGAATAATTTCAGAATGATTATGCCAATTCAGTAAACATTTTACTACAAATGCACAGAGTTAACTGTCTGGCAGAGGTTAGAGACACTCTGAAAGGGTTACAGCCCCAAATGTCTGTCTATTCTAGCTAGGAAGCAGGTGCTTTCAGTCAGATTGCCCTAAGAGAGTTTAAAAAATCTTATA